TGTGGGGGGGGGGGGGGGGGTTTGGGGGTGGAGTGTGTTGGATGTATGTGTTTGGGGAATGGATGGGGATGTTTGGGGTGGAGTGTGTTGGATGTATGTGTTTGGGGAATGGATGGGGATGTTTGGGGTGGAGTGTGTTGGATGTATGTGTTTGGGGAATGGATGGGGATGTTTGGGGTGGAGTGTGTTGGATGTATGTATGTGGAGGTGGGCAGGGATGTTTGGGATGGAGTGTGTTAGATGTATGTTTGTGGAGGTAGGCGGGGATGTTTGGGGTGGAGTGTGTTGGATGTATGTTTGTGGAGGTAGGCGGGGGATGTTTGGGGTGGAGTGTGTGAGATGTATGTGTTTGGGGGATGTTTCGGGATGTTTCTTGGTTCCTATATTTTGTGTGTCTACGCTACTCTTGACGACACGAGCACTCTGCATCGGGCTCCGGACTCTATTAAACTAAGGAACTTAAGTTTTAAAAACCTCCGCGGGTACGTTTATCCCCTGGTACAGTTGGACTGGAAATAAAGGTACACTCCTAGATAAGTTACTATAAACAGAATGCACATACACCGCTCCTTACGACAATTACAAATAAATATTATACAGCACATGTATGTTCCATGTTGTCATTACTTATAGAAAAATATAGCTCCTGTACATTACCAAAGTAAATAAAGTACAGATTTTATCAAATAAGATATCTTATTAATTTACATTACATTACTTTAAATAACCCATATCAAGTTTTAGATACTAAGTCAGACACCTTATTTACTGAATTATGTACCTTATTTACAGAATCAGACACCTTATTTACTGAATTATGTACCTTATTTACAGAATCAGACACCTTATTTACTGAATTATGTACCTTATTTACAGAATCAGACACCTTATTTACTGAATTATGTACCTTATTTACAGAATCAGACACCTTATTTACTGAATTATGTACCTTATTTACAGAATCAGACACCTTATTTACTGAATTATGTACCTTATTTACTAAATAAGATATGTAATATTAGAAATTGATAACTGATTAACTGAATAAGGTATGTATGATATGAACTATATAGAGTAAGTAACATTGGATAGTTACATGGTTACTATATACTGTTACTATATATAGTAGGTAACACTGGATAGTTACATGCCATTGTTACTATAAACAGTAGGTATCATTGTATAGTTATATGACAGTGTTTCTATATAGAGTAAGTAACATTGGATAGTTACATGACAGCGTTACTATATATAGTAGGTAACATTGGGTAGTTACATGACAGTGTCACTATATATAGTAGGTAACATGGGATAGTTACATGGCAGTGTTACTATATATAGTAGGTAACATTAGATAGTTACATGGCAGTGTTACTATATATAATAGGTAACATTAGATAGTTACATGGCAGTGTTACGATATATAGTGGGTAACATGGGATAGTTACATGGCAGTGTTACTATATATAGAAGGTAACATTGGATAGTTACATGGCAGTGTTACTATATATAGAAGGTAACATTGGATAGTTACATGGCAGTGTTACTATATATAGAAGGTAACATTGGATAGTTACATGACAGCGTTACTATATATAGTAGGTAACATTGGGTAGTTACATGACAGTGTCACTATATATAGTAGGTAACATGGGATAGTTACATGGCAGTGTTTCTATATATAGAAGGTAACATTGGGTAGTTACATGGCAGTGTTACTATATATAGAAGGTAACATTGGATAGTTACATGACAGTGTCACTATATGTAGTAGGTAACATGGGATAGTTACATGGCATTGTTACGATATATAGTAGGTAACATGGGATAGTTACATGGCAGTGTTTCTATATATAGAAGTTAACATTGGATAGTTACATGGCAGTGTTACTATATATAGTAGGTAACATTAGATAGTTACATGGCATTGTTACGATATATAGTAGGTAACATTAGATAGTTACATGGCAGTGTTACTATATATAGAAGGTAACATTGGATAGTTACATGGCAGTGTTACTATATATAGTAGGTAACATTAGATAGTTACATGGCATTGTTACGATATATAGTAGGTAACATGGGATAGTTACATGGCAGTGTTTCTATATATAGAAGGTAACATTGGATAGTTACATGGCAGTGTTACTATATATAGAAGGTAACATTGGATAGTTACATGACAGCGTTACTATATATAGTAGGTAACATTGGGTAGTTACATGACAGTGTCACTATATATAGTAGGTAACATGGGATAGTTACATGGAAGTGTTACTATATATAGTATGTAACATTGGATAGTTACATGACAGTGTCACTATATGTAGTAGGTAACATGGGATAGTTACATGGCAGTGTTACTATATATAGTAGGTAACATTAGATAGTTACATGGCAGTGTTACTATATATAGTAGGTAACATATGATAGTTACATGGCAGTGTTACTATATATAGTAGGTAACATGGGATAGTTACATGGCAGTGTTACGATATATAGTAGGTAACATGGGATAATTACATGGCAGTGTTTCTATATATAGAAGGTAACATTGGATAGTTACATGGCAGTGTTACTATATATAGTGGGTAACATGGGATAGTTACATGACAGTGTTACTATATATAGTGGGTAACATGGGATAGTTACATGACATTGTTACTATATATAGAAGGTAACATTGGATAGTTACATGGCAGTGTTACTATATATAGAAGGTAACATTGGATAGTTACATGGCAGTGTTACTATATATAGAAGGTAACATTGGGTAGTTACATGGCATTGTTAATAAATACGAAGAGGAGATGCATTTTAGGGTTTCGATATCTGCAATACATACTTTTGGAAATGGCATACTATGATACAACGGTATGTGTTTTTACCTATAGCAGAGAGTTCGATTTTTATTCTCTTTGTTTTTATTATTGATCCCTATGTGTATTGTGTCCGTTGTTTTCTGAATTCTAGACTGTCTGCTGGTCGATACAAAATTGCATTGTTGGCATTCCGCTGGTAAAACCGACTCTGTTATTGATTATAACAGGCATTTTGTACTACATTTAGAGTTAATAGTACCTGTTACAGTTCCGTGTGTTCAATGGCCATACTTTCTCTTCTTCCTTTTGATTTACCAATCAAAGGTTCCAATGTAATGTGTTTCGGTATAAATATGAATGGAGATAATAACTTTGTTTTATTATATATCTTTTTTAACAGGGCACCATTTGTCTGTCGGCAGTGAGGTTTCCGTCGCTATATTGAAACATCACTGCTGTCAGCCACAAAGCAACGGATTACTGATTGTTCTCATAAAAACAGCTTTAATTTGCTTAACGACCACGTGTTTTCATGGTAATCTCTGATTGGTGCATGTCTCAATTTCAAAATGAATTTTATGTATTAGTGTTCAAAGTATTTGAAAAGCAAAATGTACTAGCTTTTCTTACGAATGCTCTCAGATATGGTATCATTGACAGCAAAAACAGAAATTAAGATGGGCATGAACAAAAACTCAATTCAATTCACATTTTTTTTTAAACGATCACAAAATGAAAAAAAATACTTAGCTAACCTAACAAAAGTAAAAACGAAAATGAACGTGAACCAAGAATGGTCGTGTCATTGTTCGAAGACCTCTGCTGTTTAAATCTACAAATTGTAGGTCAAGTCTAGTAATGTCACGTTCTCAAAGTGAGAACTGAAGTTTTACCAATGTAACCACCAACAGGTTCAAAGTTTGAAATTTTACTTCAATTGTAGGCCATTGGCCTATCAGTATACAATACAATACAAGGCAGTCTTATTTCATTATAGCACGACAACCTTAAGTTGTTTACCTTATAAATTAACTTCCCAGGGGGCTTGATGGCACAATTCTATATTATGAACACTCAAGAAATGAACAACTAAGATGCTTGTTTCTTTATTTCTTTAATAATTTATCATCTACATTATCTGCGCTCTCACGGTATATCGTTATACCGTCCATGTTCTACAACCAAACAACAAGCAGAAAATCGAAGGTAACATGCCTTAGTTCATGCAGCGTAACAAAGAGACATGATGCAGAATAAAGCTCAACTCAATCTGAGGGATACAATTTTGTATTCATAAAATTGTTATTTTCTTCCCCAAAAATTATTTAGCCAATACTTCTCTAAAATTGTTTTTGAAATTATGAAGTACTTTCAGTAATTTTATATTTGAAATCTTAAGTGTAAACATTTCAAATGAGGAATGGTATAAATCTGCCATACTTCAAACTCAAGAAGAGTAGTGTGGGGATCAGTATTATATCATTGTTATTAAAGAACTCAGTTCCGGTTAATTAACATATTATGTTTAAGATATTATTTAAGCAATTCAGGGTTAATAATGGTATCGACACAGAGGTAAGGTATTCTTAGTCAGGTAATACGGACCAATTATAGTTAATTACTGAAAAAGCAAGGATACAAGGTAACAGGTACAATACTCTAATAAATATATTTAGAACCGTGAATTTTGGTTGACTATACTGATCTATGCGGTAAGCTATGCAGAAAACTGTCTATGTCGCAGTGAAATTTGTGGCTATTTTTTCGTTCCAATTTCTTAATCTACAGGTGAAAGTGTCTTTTGTTAATCTGTATTTGTTAATACGAAATTTGGTGTATGTCAATAATAAAATATTCATCGCCCGTTGCTTAGTCACACAGAACAGGTGACGGTGTAGGATAATCACCTGTGCTGTATCTAATTATAAAATAGATTCGGAGTCATATAACGCCATATCACGTGACCAAGTACACGCTGTGCAGTAGAAGCATTGGTATACAAGCTCGGCTGTTCAGCCTGTACTCTCATAAACGTGAGGCGAGAAACAAGCTAACCAGTCATACATTTATTATATAACCAGTTACACGCTACTGTACATGTGTAATAGCGCGAACTCAAGTTGATCCGGGTCAGAGTGCAGAAACAACACGTAATATCGACCGATACAAATATATTTGATGATGGCGTCCAGAGTGATGACCACGCTATCCGATGTCCAGTTTTACATGTGGGGTCTGACCATGTACCCAGTGGGCGTGTCATGTGTGGCATGCTGTTTAGCCGCTGCCCTAGGCTTCTGCTTCTGGGGGAAAGGCAAACAAGGGCGTGGCAGGAATCCATTCGCCTTGGAACACGTGCGACCAATCGAAGACATCATAACGGATAAAGCTACGAGAAAGAAAATATTGAAAAACAGTAAGTATGTAGGTCACGGTTTGAAGTGTCTTCACATGTGTAGTGATAATAATATGTTGATATATAGATTTTACATCTTTAGCTCATCGTCTTACCAAGAGATATATATCATTCTACTACATAATGATGTATGCTGGGTTCATTATCACAATAGCAGCGAGATAAAGATACCGTCCTTGTAAACGAACCAACACGTGCTAAACTGTTTGTCCATTAAGTATGTGTGCGATCACCGGACACAAAAGGCAAAGTATAGTCTTCCCACCACCGTGTCAATGTCGGAAATTTTTAAATTCAAATTGTTATATTTGAATCTGTCGCGCAAAACGTGTAAATCCATGTTAAAGTAGTTTAAATCACAGTGTACACCTCAACCTACCCATAATTTGCAGAATATATTATTGTCATAATTTTCTGGGTTAGGTAAGTATTTTCAGAAAGCACATTCTGGGATTCAGACCACCAAATATATAAATCTATTGTTGTATGAGATGACTATACAATCTTATGGCCTAAAAAATATTGACATATCCACTTCAAAAACGTGTTAACGGGTATATTGATAAGAAACAAGTAGGTAACGTACAGTATCGGTTACTGTAGAATGTATGTGTCTGTCCAGAATATCTAGCGGTACTAATTGGGAACGAATTTACATTAAAATCCTTACTTGAATTTCCTTATATTTTTGTTCATTGATGAGTTGATTTAAACGTGACGCGACAAAATTGTCAGATTTTACGTAGCCGCGATCAATTGTCATTTTAGGTGTACCCTCGACAAAACTGACACTTGAGACGTACCCTCGACAAAATTGACACTTGAGACGTACCCTCGACAAAATTGACATTTGAGACGTACCCTCGACAAAATTGACATTTGAGACGTAACCTCGACAAAATTGACATTTGAGACGTAACCTCGACAAAATTGACATTTGAGACGTAGCCTCGAAAAAATTGACATTTGAGACGTACCCTCGACAAAATTGACATTTGAGACGTACCCTTGACAAAATTGACATTTGAGGCGTGATTATGACAAAATTGACATTCTACATGTGTTGTTGCAGTTGTCATTTTAGAGAAAATCATGACATTATTACCATTTTAGAAATAACGTGACACAAAATTTAGTTTAGACGTAGCCGCGACAAAATTTTCACTTTAGACGTAGCCTTCACAAAATTGTCATTATAGTTGAACAGTGACAAATTATCATTTTAGATGTGCTACTTCAATTGTTGTTTTAGACGAAACCGCGACATTGTTATCGTTCAAGACGCAACGCGACACAAGTATTGGTTTAGGCGTAACTTCAACAAAAACTGTCATCTTAGACGTTGCATCAACAAAGTTATCAATTCAGTTGAGCCTCGACAAAAATGACATATTAGAGGTAATTACGACAAAACGGACCTTTCTAATGTGCTGCTACAATTGTCATTTTAGACGAACCGCGACATTATTGTCATTTACGGACATAACGCGACATTTGTTTTTTGTTTAGACGTAGCCTGTTTTTGACTGCATACGTGACAAAACAGAATTCATACTATATAGAAACAAAACAACACTTGGGTAATTATAAGCGCACATGACCTTTTCCGCAATGGAAATATTAAGATGTTTTCGTGCGTGTGGTCGCAGACAGATATATTAAAGGTCGCTGATCAAGGTTTGGCCATACTGTTTCTACCCTTATTTTCTATGTATATCATAGGGTCATCTGAATGTGCCGATGAAATGTTTGGAAGTAAAACTAGTTTCATAATATATATATATATGCCTGGATATGTCATTGAAGATTTAACGAACAACAGTTTCATTACTTGAACTAGTCTGAAATTGAAATGTTTAGATTGTTTACAAGGCTCGAGCGACATGTTTTTATTACTACGTTGTTTTTTACTACATTTATTTCCAGACGTTGTATAACTATCCCAGTTTGGGTTCTTAAATTCTATGTCACACGTGCTTTTATTACAATGTCAGGAATACAATCTACAACTACTGCAAACTACCTATACCTCTGAGTGTGTGGTCAAAGTCCGTATACCTATAAATATCAGGTATATTGATTGTACCTGGGTTATCTAGTGAATATTTACGTTTGTGTGTATAGATAACAAATTTGACCAGTCTCTTTGTAACTGTTTAAACACTAAATTAAGTAGAGAAAAGGGGCACTGGGGTTAAACGATTGCTAGCGGAAGTCGGTGTTTTCCTTCAGAAACGCAACTTAATCGTCTTTTAAACGTTTTCTGTTTAATTACCCACATGGAGTTCCGGCCTCTAATAAAATGGAAGTTTATGAATTTTAACAATTGTTCTGATGTTAAAATGAGTACTAGAGATCAAGATAGATTAGGATGGAAACACTTTGTTAAAAGGAACCTGCAGAACAATGAAAACACTGAACTAACACGTGGTACGAAGGACCAAGACACAGACTTCATCAGATATAAATGTATTCACGACATATATAGAGAACCGTGAAGTTTAAAACGAATAGAAAAAACTTACGGCATACAGAGAGCAATGCAGTTTAAAACGATTAGTAAAAACGAATGAACGGTTACAATACATGGGTAATGTGGTAAAAATACTCCTGTGTGTTCCACGTCCTGACTTTTAAATATGTGCTTGCTATGTGAAGTATATAATGACGCAATACTGCATTATTAATACGATGTCAATCCACAGTTTAATATATAGGACAAGTTGCTACGAAGCTGTCAGACATATTTCCTATAGAACTATTACCTTAGCAGATACTACAGGTATTACTAGGTAATACTTTCACGAAATAACTGACCATACACACTCATATTATAAAATGTGATGTTTTTTATACAAGTATTGTTGAACTAAATTGTAACACCCTGATTTTTATAATGATCATTGAAAGTAGTTGTTGGTGATTTTGAACCTGGATATTTATGCTATAACGGATTTGTGTAGGCTACAACAGATAACTATATAGCCATGGATGTACTGGTCTCCGAGCAAAATGGTACCTTGGTCGGTTGGTTGACAGGTTTTTCGTCTCCGTGTCTCCTCCCGTATCCGGGTATCGTCTCACCGACAAACATCAGTTTTCTGGCGACGTGAGGAGGTGAACTACACCCCCTCAGTAGGACGGAACCGTCTGTAGCGACCAACGTTTGATCATACTTGTTTTAGAAGACGGCTCCAGGGCCTAATAAATGCATTATCCTACTAATTCTAGCAGTTTGAAATATCCAGAATCTGAAAGGAAGAATTGGAGGTCTACCTAGATTTGATTTGTGTTAGGATAATTTCTAAACTCCGTCAATGCCTTAAAAATAATTGCATAGCCTAACACTATCCCTAAACCCATGGACCGTCGTTATCACGCTTACTCCTTTTCTAAAATTCACAGAGGTATCTTTTAGCGTGCGAGAGTGGACAGTCCTCGCACGGGCCACCGTTTAAAGTCCCATCCGTCAGACTGTGTTTAGTGGTTAGATCGGTGCAGGTGTAATTATAACTACCGTTTAAAGTCCCATCCGTCAGACTGTGTTTAGTGGTTAGATCGGTGCAGGTGTAATTATAATTAATACTTGCGTTTTTAGGTCACCTGAGCTGCTTTGTCTGTCGTCGTGCGTCGTGCGCTGTTAACTTTTCATATATTCGACTTCTTCTCAAGAACCAGCGGATGGATTTTGACCAAATTTTGCACAAAGCATCCCCATGGGAAGCCGCTTCAAGTTTGCGAAGAAAAAGGGCCTGGCCCTAATAGAGGCCCCAGGAGGGAGGAAAAGGTGGTAAAACTAGGTAAACCAACAGTCAGATTAAATTCATATTTGATATTTAGGGTCCTTATGGCAAGGTCTACAAAGTTTGGGAATGGAAAAAAAATCGGGTCAAAAACGGCCCCACTAAGGGGCGCTCAAAAGGGTCGAAAATTCAACTTTGACCGATTTCAACCAAATTTTGTAGACAGCATCCCTTAGTGAAAGACATATGAAATTAAGTTGAAAAAAGTGATAATGTCCCCTTTGGGGCCGATAAGGGGTGTAAAAGGGGCCATATGTTAAAACCTTTTTAAAATGACTTCTCAAGAACCAGCGGATGGATTTTGACCAAACTTGGCACAAAGCATCCCCATGGGAAGCCGCTTTAAGTTTGCGAAGAAAAAGGGCCTGGCCCTAATAGGGGCCCCAGGAGGGGGAAAAGGGGGGTAAAATTAGGTAAATCTTTAAAAATCTTCTTCGCATGAACCAACAGTCAGATTAAGTTCGTGCGTCGTGCGTCGTTAACTTTTTAGGTAACATGAGCCAAGGCTCATGGTGACCTAATGCCATCATGATTTGTCTGTCGTCGTGCGTCGTTAACTTTTCACATTTTCGACTTCTTCTCAAGAACCACAGGATGGATTTCAACCAAACTTGGCACAAAGTATCCCTATAGTAAGATGCATCAAGTTTGCGAATGAAAAGTGTGTGGCTCCAATAGGGGCTACAGGAGGGGGCAAAAAGGGTCAATTAGATTTTTTTAGCCCACCATCATCAGATGGTGGGGTATTCAATTCGCCCTGCGTCCGTGGTCCGTCCGTCCGTAAACAATTCTTGTTACCGCTATTTCTGGAAAAGTACTTGATGGATCTTTCTCAAATTTCATATGCAGGTTCCCCTTGGTCCCTAGTTGTGCACCTTTGTGTACCTTTTTTGGATTTATTCGAATTCAAGATGACCGACAGGTGGTCATCTTGGATTTTGAAAGTAAAAGTTTGTTACCGCTATTTCTGGGAAAGTACTGGATGGATCCTTCTGATATTTCATAGATATTGGTTTCCCTTGGTCCCTAGTTGTGCATTGTACCTTTTTTGGACTGATTTGAAATCAAGGTGGCCCACAGGCCGCCATCTTGGATGACGACAGTAATACAGCACAAACATATTGTCCATTATCCACCTGTAACTGACTGCTATCTAATAATACTTTGGGATCTTTTTCAAATGATATTTGCTTATAA